TTTTTCATTGGGTTTCTAAACCCATCCACCTGACCAGATAAAAAGCCGGAGCGGTAAATCTGTTATTAAGCAAAAAGCAAGCAGGACCATACCCAGTAGTTAAGTGTAAGGAGTCCACAGCTAGATACGTACTTTTTTATTTTTTTCTTAAAATACCTTTTTTGCCTAAGATACCTTTTCGTGGGTAATACACGCTACGCACCAAATGTCTTCGAGGACACGTTTAAAACACGCGAGGAAAAAGATGTCTTTTGAAAACACTTTTCCGTGAGCTTGTTCCAGGTGGGCGTAAATGTTTTTTTTATGAAAATCTTGCTTGATACGGTCGAGGGCAGATATTTCGAAGAAAAGCGCACTTAATATTATATCTATTAAAACCTAACTTAATGCACCTGAGGATAGATATTTTAAAGAAAAACACACCGCGAGTATGGTGAAGGGACTAATATTCACTACTTATTCTGCGAAACATGAAATGAAAATTTCGAATTTCTAGGGACATGTTTTGTTTTGTATTTCTTAGCAGACATTTCAGTTGTTGGTGGAACGCGGTTTAAACAAAGCAACGTCCACCTTCTCCTAAAAGATTAATTAAACTTTTCAATCCCATCTTAAAGAACTTTGATCTTTAGTTGTCTCATACACTCAAACGACAGTTTACACTGTTAGAGTACAACTGAACAAAGTTATCAATTTAGCACAGAAATGACCAGAGGTTGGGGGAGACTGAGTAGATATTGCAGCATTTCATCGTTGTTGTTTGATTGTGCTTGTTGGATACGAGACTCTTGTTGTCTGTCTATCATCTGGTATTCAGTACGCGTTCGTAGAATAATTGTTAAATACGCCATGCTTGATAGTCTTGATATAAGATTTTTGTCGTCAGTAAAGACAAAAGTATTTCAAGCCACACATGGTTGATGAACATTTCAGAAAACCGAGATTGGTTCAGTATTTTTTCGTACACCCAGTGATCTGCACTACACTTTGTATACAAAATGGAGGTCATCAGGGTCCTCAGTTCCTTATTATGTTGATGCTTAGTGCTGTTAATTGCAGGTGGTGATTTCTGCAAGACTAAAGCCGATGTAGTTGTTCTTATTCAAGAACGATCCTAAAACAATTTCAAAATCGACGAGACGACAGAAAAGGCGACGACACAGCAAAGGTGATTTTTACTTGTATTTCATTACCGATGTGTATGGCTATTTGAAGGTATTCAATAATTGACATGAATACTGTTCAAGGTTTGAAATTTAAGGGTAGAATGTTACAGATTTTAAGACCTTTTGCACTGTACAAACCCTACGAGTTAGCAGATCTCAAGTATTAAATTCTGTTATTCACAAATGGTTAGCCATTGCTTTCATTTTTTTCTACTTTAAATTTCAACAACTGTCAAGATTCTAGTGGTATTCTCAGACAGCAAAGCGGAATATGGAGGGGGTGCGAGTCGAAACATTATGGACACCTTCAGGCTTGAGAAAGCTGAAAAACTGCTGAGAGTCAACAACAACGTCAAAATAGTTGGACCCTTATTCCCAACAGTGACAAAACAGAACGAATACAAGAGCTAAAAGGCATCGTCACTGAACCAAATGATGTCTTAGAAGATGATTTTACTTCCAGCAACCTTAACAATATCGCAGATCTCAGTGAAACGATTTGTAAGCTGTCCAGGTAACATTGAATTATATTTTAATTATGTCAATTAATTAGCGCAATACAAACTGCTCAAGATGACACAAATTATTTTATGAAAAGTAGAAGAAAATCCAGGACAGAAGCTTTGATATAAAAATTAATGTGTAGACTGCTCTCGATACAATTCTAACGGTAATTTTTCTAAGGTGTGCAGAAGTTGCATTATTATTTAACAACGCGCGATGTTCTTTTTTCTCGCTTGGTAAGAGGGCTGAATGTGCTCTTTCGAATTTTTCGTTTGCATGGCTGTACCGCCACATTCCAAATTTTAACCCTTTGTTTTTCCCAGAAGAATGCGTCAGTATCCTTACTCGTTTTCAATTTGACCATTTCCAAAATAGAAATATATTCCTGCCAAATAATTCATTTTGAAAGGAAAACAACACCAAGGACATGTTGCATATATATTTGCCGTTAAAAATCGTAACTCCTGTGAATCAGCCGTAACTCAACTCAACAGTTTGTTTAAGCAAACAGAGTAACGCTATGTTATATTCTGGCTGTTGCCTAAGTTGTGGTAACTTTTGGTGAAATATTTACTCCTCTGCAAGCGAGCAGTGCGACGGAATTAATTTCCATTTCAGTTATAGCGAAATAGGATGGAATGTCATCAATCCGGCTAGACGGGCCACGAAAATCTGGCCATATTTATGCGTTGACCGTATTAATTAAAGTGCTTCTTTAAATCAGAAAATAAGAAAATGACTGACCTAGAATAAAGTGGCTGTCATATCAAGGTGAGCGTGTTAAGGGGGTGGCCGTAAGGCAGGGTTTTACTTTAGAAGAGATTCTTGTGTAGTCTATCAACTTTCAGTGGCGGTTGCTACATTCATAATCATTTTGAATATTTCAACAGTTACATATACACAATTGAAGGAGACATTTGTTAACAACAAATACAATCTGAAAGTTAGGATTCAAGGACAAGGGGACAAACAAACTGAAGACAACAACAGAGATGCAAGAGTATGTCAAGTACAGGGTGTTAAAATAATTGCTGTTGATCTCGCTGTACAGATTTGGCTTATATGCTGCATATAGTATGTGCATAGAGTAGATAACACCCAAGTCTGTTTACAGTTGCAACTTATCTAAACCTGATAAAAGGGGATATGTATACTACTAAAACTCTGGCCTTCCTCAGGAGTGATCATTTTCTTTCCCAAGCCCCAGCGTGTGTCGCTTCTCTCTCAAAATGGTCTAATTGAGTGCTAATTTGTTGCAAGTGGTAACAAAAGAAATATCCCTGAATTTAAAATGTTAAGAGATCAAGAATGACTCATTTGATTGAAATAGCACAACCTAGTGCAACACAGCAGAGAATATAATACGGAAATATCTAAGCAGGGCACATGCCTAACGTAGCATTTTATAACCCAACTTAATAACACATAAGAGAAAACAGCACAACCAAGCGCTACACAGCAGAGAATATGGGAAAATATCTCAACATGGAACAACGTAGCATTTTATGACCCAACATAAAAACGCATAGGAGAAAACAGCACAACCTAGCTAAACACAGCAGAGAATAGGGGCAAATAATCTCAACATGGCACAACGTACCATTTTATAACCCAACCTAAAACACATAAAAGAAAGCGGGACAACCTATCTAAACACAGCAGAGAATAGGGGAAAATATCTCAACATAGCACCATGCACGTAGCATTTTATAAACCAGCCTAGAAACACATAAGAGAAAACAGCACAAAGTAGCGTAACATAAAAGACAAAACGTGACATAATCTAGAACTTTATAGCCCAACCTAAAAACACATAGGAGAAAACAACACAAAGTAGGGCAACACAGCAGAGAATAGTTGAAAATATCTCAACCTGGCGTAATCTAGCACTTTATAACCCGACCTAAGAACACACAGGAAAAAACAGCAGAAAGTAGCGCAACATGGCAGCGAATAAAGGAAGGTATCTCAACGTAATATAACCTAGCACTTTTTAACCCAACCTAAGAACACACAGGAAAAAAAAACAGTACAAAGTAGCGCAACATAGCAGACAATAGGGAAAATATCTCAACGTGACTCTACATAGCACTTTACAACACAACCTAAAAACACAGCAGAAAACAGCACAAAGCAGCGCAACATAGCAGAGAATAGAGGGAAATATCTCAACGTGACATGACCTAACATTTTATATCCCAACCTAAAAACACATAGGAAAAAACAACAGGAAGTAGTGTAACATATCAGAGAATAGGGGAAAATATCTCAACATGACATAACCTAGCACTTTATAACCGAACCTAAAATCACAGAGCAGAAACAAGC